AGCCATGGATGGACACCGAGAACATTCAGTGGGAGAGAAAGCATCAGACTTGGGTTTCTCAGAGGTGGCTGGACCACAATGAGGTGGTGAGAGAAGGCCATAGAGGCTGCTACCAGAACCCACACAGATGATGGTGTGGGCCCGGGCCAAGGCAGCCTGGACCATGGCGAGGGAGGGAATGATCAACTTATATCAAGAAGCTCCCTGGGATGGGCTGAGAGGGATACGGATGCTGAGTGAGAATCATCCCCGAGAAGCCTCACGTGTGAGCCCTCAGGTACTGGAGCTTGTCATCAAGGTAGAGTGAGGAGGAGAGGCACATTTAGCAAAGAAATGGTGAATTCTGAGTGTCTGTGAACACCAGTGGAGATGCCAGCACCTAGCAAGACATGGAGGCCTGGAGCCTGGAGAAGGAGGCCCAGTTCCCCATCCAGATTGGGAGCCGCGAGCCTAACAGAGAGTGAGGCTGTGGCTTTGGGTCACCCTCTGTGCGGCTAGCGGAACTCAGCAGTGGGATGGTCAGAGTCCGGAAACGGCCCATCCGGGCAGTGGACAGGGGAAGAGGAGTCCCACAAAGACTGGCACCAGTCTGAGGGCTGGATTTAAATCTCCGTCTAGCTGGCTGCACCTTTGTGTCTCTCCTTGCCCGTCTACCTTTCACATGACAATATGATGTGATTCTCTGAAGTGAGAGTCCTATCTTTATTACCGAGTGAACCACTTTCCCCAGCTTCCAGCATCAACCTCCAAATCAACTGTCTGGCTTAGCGCCTGCTCCTTGATCAGCTGCCTGGGATCTCCCACTTCCCAGGGTGTACCCCGCCACGTCCCTCTCACACAGGCTCCAGGAGGTCCTTCCTGTCCAGGGCTGCACTGTTCCCTCCATGACGATGCTTCTTGCTTCCTTCCCCCGGACTGAGGAGCCTTGTCCTCTCCATCCATCCAAATCCTGCCTATGCTTCATTTACCAAAACCCTGGACAGATCAGTCCGCAACAATGGTGCTGTTCCCATGGGCATAGCACATATCCATGTTCCCAGATGTTCACCTAGTCTAGGTTCCTCTGCCTGGGCTTCCTGGGGCCAATCACAAGCTCATTAAGGGAAAGGATGTGTCTTTCACTTCTTCTGCACCTCAGAGGATCCCCTGGTCCTGGTGAGGGTTTCTCAAGCAGCCTGGCTGCACCCCCAGAGCCAAGGGAGGAGCATGGGTGGTGGGCAGCAGTGAGCAGCTGGGTAGCTGCTGGACCAAGATGGAAGATGACACAGGCAAAGACCTCTCCGGGGACACAATAAGTACACTTGGTTACCTCGGAAAGCTTGAAGTTAAAAACCGCAGGCAAGTCACTTTAAGTGTTTACTAGTTACTGAATGACTTTCTCACCAAATAAACTCTGAGTGCTATGAAACATCTGAAAACCAACAGGTTTTAAAACCAACAATACATTTACTTTAAATGAGATAACACAACTTGAGGTTGCCTACAATAAAACGATTCAGAGGCATTAATGCAAACAACAACGACAACAACAACAACAACAAAAATGATACACATGAAGCTTTCTGAAGTCGGAAGCCAAAGTTCTGAGTCTGGGTTTAAAAAGCTGATTTGATTGAACCTTAAGCCGGCAGCACTGAGCTTCCTGCCAGCCACAGCTAAAAGAAAAGTAGCATGATCAGGGATCTGAGGTACAGGCCTTGGAGTCCCACACACAGATCCTGCATCAGCAGTTCCACGTCCCTGGCAAGACAGCACCCTTCTGAACATTGAGCCCGTGAAGGAAAACCTGTACCTCTCAAGCCAGGTAAATGAGAACACGTGCAGAATACGTACACGTGACTGGTAAGCGCGGTGGTGCTCTTCTCACTGACAGGCGGCAGCCATGGCAATTCTGCTCCGTGATGACCGGAACTGGTGGCTGTTCTCAAAGCTGCAACCGCAATGGCCAGCCCTAGGCTATCCTAGGCCCAGCCTATAAGCACTGAGTAGTGAACTGTTTACAAACAGAAGAAAGCAAACCTTCCCAGTGTAACTGCTGTCTGTGGTTCTCATGGACGCACACAGCACAGAGATGGTTTACAGAGGTATTCTTTGTGAGGACTGTTGGAGAAGTTCTCTCTTTGGTGATTTATGATGTAAGGACTCAGGGTTAAACACAGCCCAGTGAGAAAGTTCAGCAGGAGCTAAGCTAATGAGGTTCAGGCATATAAATGAGACAGCACAGTAAGCGGAGGTGAATAGAGTATGATGTTTGCCATCCAGCAGACCATGTAACATAAAGGCCCCTGTGAGAGCCCAGGAGCTGGTACCTGGGCTCTGGGCTTCAGACCTGTGGTGAGGAGACTCAGCTAGGAGTAGAAGGGTTGACAGTGCAGGTGGTAACCTCCAGTCCTGGCAGGAACGTTTGGTGTTTTACACACTGAGGCTTGGGCTGGTACCAGGAGATCCTGTGGTATTCTAAGCCTCTGCAGTTGGGAAAGACCCTGGGCGACATCTGCAGCCAGCCACCAGGGAGGTGCCCCATGTGGCCCCTACAGTCTGGGGGCAGGATGTGCCTCTACTGCAGAGGATTATGTTCCTGCTGAAAGCTGCTGGTGCCTGTCCAAAGGCCAGGTGTGCCTGGTATCTGCAGTGGAAACCCACCAAGAGAGGGTGTGCTGGGCCCAGCAGAACTCCATCAGATGAAGATGGGGCACTGGGTCAGCACAGGCAGGGAGGGCCAGAGGGCACAGGTAAGCTGCATGTCAACCTCCTCTGCTCTTCTGCAGCTCATACCTATAGCCACGCGCTGGTGGGTTCCTGATGACAAAGTGAAAGAAGGCAAAGGACAAGTCTGGCTCATGGATGGATTGCTGGAAGGGGATCCTTTTGGGGAGGAGGGGGCTGTGAAAGACAGAGATTGGGGAAATAAATTCTCCTGCGCAGAGCTGGGTGGTGTGACAGTCATCCGCTTTGCACAGAAGAAGTAATAAGACACAGAATAGGGATTCACTGGTGTGGTCAGCAACTTGGTTGGCTGGTCAGGGACGGGGAAGGAGGACACAAGGAAATCCATGGAAGAGGCAAAGCAAGTGGACACAGCTAAAGGAACAGAGGAAGGGTGGTGATGCTGTTTTATAAACCAGTGCCTACCATGGACACCCATCACAGCAAAAGCACTGGACAGGAGGCAGGCGGAGGGACCCAGTACTCCATCACTGAACCCTAGGGTGGGCCACAGTGGCAGGAAGGAGGCTATGTGTGGGCCTCTCATGCAGGCAGATCTTGCTGCTGTCACTGGGGAGAATCCAAACTGCCACCAACAGAGCCAATCTGCCCCCATTCTCGAGCAGGACACATGGCCACTTCTGGCCAAGTAGACCTCCGGCCCTCTTCACCCTGGAGGAGCTGTGTAACAGACTCAATCATGATCTCCACAGTCCTATGGTGAAGTTTTACCCCGCAAACAAGGGTTTTGAAGGAGATAATTAAGATTACACGAGGCCATGAGGTAGGCCCTAATCCTACAGGACTGGGGGCCTCAGAATACGAAGCTGCAAAGTATGGTGCTTTCTACTGAGGGACTCTGAATGGAAGGCCACAGGAAGGCCCCAGGGTCTCTGATCTCCTATCATCTGGTCTCTTGTCCTTCCACCTCGGAGTTGCTCTTCCCCAAGACAGGTCATAGAACAGGAGCCCCTTCTCACAAAGCAAGCCATCAAATCTACAGAGGACTCTCTCTCTCGCTGCTCCCTTGGTGACCCTCATTCCCCAAGGCTCCTGTCCCATATCTGGGAGAGGGCATGCCACACAGAGGAGACAAGAAGAATCTGAGTAGACAGGTCCTGCTGGGGTCCCTGCTGTCACTATCAGGCTACATCCTTTGACTTCCCTGCAGGATTTATCTCCTCCTGGCAAACACAAGGCTTCCTCTACAACCTGTGTTCACCTTGTACATAGTTCTCTTACAGAACTCACATAGCTCCTTGCGTTCAGCTCTCCTCTCTGCAGAGTTGACTCCATCATTGACACCTCCAGCTCAGACTCCAAGGGAGGGAGAGATGTGCACCCTCCAGCCTTAGATACCACATGGCTACCTTTACAGTATGTTCCAGAGTCACTTCAGATTCAAATGCATCTCCAGGCAGCAACTTTTATTTCTCACTCTCTTCTGCCCTCTCCTCCTATCCCATTATAAACTCCGGGACCCACAGCCTGTAAAGGACTCAAAGATGCCAGACCTAACTTTATTTCTCCTGGCTGTTGCAAGATCTATAGAGTTAGCTCTTCCACCCTAGGCTGGCAGGATGCAGGGGGATGGCAGGAGAGACTCACATCTCCCAGCACCCCAGAGAGTAAAGAAGACAGGGCAAGACACGAAAAGCATAGTGTGCTGGGTCACAGAGGTGTCCAAGGACGATGAGGCTTGAGCTTTTGGCCTAAGCATAACAACCCATCTTCCCTGTCTCCCTTGTTTGCACAGTGAGCCATTTGTAGATAAATAAACAATACTTGATTACAAGCTACGAAGACATGGCATTTATCTGATTCACATTGGTTGCTCTCCTAAAATTGTCTTACCTTCATATTCTCTTCATTTCAAACAACGAAAATCATGAAGCTTCACATTTCATATGTAGCACATGATTAGCATTTTAACAGGAAGACACTTGTGGCTTTTACAAGATTATACACAGATAAATATCCTATCTTGCTAACTAGGTTGGTGTTTCTCTAAGAAATAATGCTTATCTAATAAAAGTAGAACAAGAATGTCCAGTCTGACCAATAGTTCAGCTGCAATTTATTTTTTTGCCCTTTAAAAACAACCAAGTTCCATCCCCGGCACCAAAAATAAATAAATAAGTAACAACCAAGAACGGCCACCACCGGAGACCTACATCCTGTCTGGAAAGATGTCGACTCCACACCACAAAGCACAGGAATAGCAGGATGCAACCCCCATCACAGGAGAAAAGCTACCCAGGCCCGCACTTCACACCGAAGCCGTCAGCTGTTACCTGCTGCTGTCTCTGTCGCCTCGCCTGTGCAAACTGCGAGAGCATCAGCTGCCGGTCGAGCTGCTCCATTCTCTGCTGCCTCTGGATGTCCACGGTGGCTCCCATCCCAATTCTGGCCTCAGTGCTAGGCTCTGACGAGGAGAAGATGGGCTCTAGTGTCCAGGAGAGGAACTGGGCCATCCAGCTGGGGACGCAGAGCACCTGGTGAACCTGGAACATTTTGCTGTCATAGCACAGACCGGAAATCTAAAAGAAAAAGACCAACTGGACTGTTAAACTATAATAAAGATTGAAAGAGTATAATTCAACATAGAAACTAGTAACTGCAGGGGCTAGGGATGTAGCTCAGTGGCTCCCCAACTGCCTCACAAGTACAAGGTCATGAGTTCAATCCCCTGTACAAAAAAAGAAACTAATAACTGTAAAACATCCCAGATGGTATTTCTCTTAGCTTTATCAGCGTTAGGTGATAAGCAAAAACTCTGAGCAAGTTACGGAATACTAAACATAACAACCAACAAAAATTTAATTTACACAGTGAAACAAAATTGCATTTATTCAATGAGGAGATGGTAAAATCTTAGCCATTTAACAAAGTACAGGTAAAAAATTAAAAATTAATGTCTTCATTTTTTTAGAAAAAAATGCCATTAAAGATCTAATGAGCCAAACAACTCCATACTGTACTAGCTTTGTGGCTGTCCCTCATGGCAGAGGGCCACCAGAGACACATAAGAAGAAAACTGCTCTGAGGTTCAAGCATCCAACTCCAACACAATAGATTCATCAGAAAATACAGATGACCTAAAACCTTGGCTTATTTTTTTTCATATAGTATTTTAATCAGGTTTTCAAGTACTGTATTGAGTTTTCTAGATGTTTAAATTCTTCATCAACGTTAGTTATCAGCTAATAATTCTTTTTACAAAAGTATTTTCATCTTTAAGGAAACTTACATGCAAAGAGAAGCCTCAAGACTCCCTGTAGTTTTCTAGGTAAAAATAACTATAGCTACGGCTTTGTTAAAGAACCTTTAATTCTTAGGATAAGAAATTATTTATACCAAATAAAGCACTTAACAATTTTGTGCCTAATCTGAGAAAAGAACACTTTAATGTTTTATTAATGCAATTTAAATTTATTTGGCAAGGATTCATTGAGTTCCTATACTGCAAATACTGTAGGGACAAGATAATAAGGTCCCCCATGCCCACAGAAGTGACAGTGCTCAATCTAAAGAAAAGACAATAAGCAAGCGAATGCACAAAACAACCTCAGATAAGATTTATGAAGGAACTTGGAACAGGAACCCACTTTATGTGGGATGGCGAGGGAAGCCCTCAGAGGAAGTGATACTTGAGCAAAGATCTTAAGGATGGAGGGGTGCCCAGGAATTGAAGAATAAGAAGACTGCAGGTGAGAAAACAGCCAGTGCTATGGAGGAGGCAGCTTGGGAGAATCCGTTAGGCATCTTAGTGGAGCTATCAAGTGGGCAGCTGAATATACAAATCTGGAACTCGAGGAGACAGGCAGCGAGGACTTGGGAGCTTCTGGATACACCAGGGCAAGTAGGCCAGTGGGATCGGATAACACCAGGGTCATATTTCAGAAGAGACAGGAGAATGAACCCAGCTGTGTGCCAACCCATACTGTGTGGATAGACAGAGTAGGAGATGCCAGTAAAGAACTCTGTGAAGAGGCTGCTGGGGAACAGGAGGGTTTAGCAGCAGTGACGCAGAGAGAACGTTTACAGAGAGGAACAGATAGTTCTGTGTAACTCAGGTTACACAAGCAAGATGGAGGAAGGATCACAAACGCAGGCCTCTGACAACTTTATCAGGATGTCTGGGGCAGCTGTCGGCACAAAAGACAGACGGTAGGCGGAAGAGTGGAGAGTGGAGGGCTTTCGACTTCAAACAATTTCTGTGTTGCTCCTCTATAAATCAACAAAGAGGATGAAAACAGAAACAAACTCTGTGGTTAGTGCACCCCAAAAGCACCTGTGCTTCACTTAGCGGACAGGGAGAGCGGATGCACATGGCGCCGAGGCTCAGGGATCAGAGTCAGGAGGCGCGGAGGGCACAAGAGGAAGCAGCACACCTCTTCCCGCAGCGTCAGGTCCACCCTGTTCCTCGAGGTGAGATGGAGGGGGATGCAGGGCAGGCACCGCAGGGCAGGGTCTGAGCTGGGAGCCCACAGAAAAAGGGGTGCATGGGTGAGAGTGGGGATGTAACTGAAGAAATGGCAGTCAAGGGTTTCCAGAAGTAGTAAGGAATACAAATCCTCAGACTGAAAACACTAGTCTCCAGCAGGATAATAAAATGAAATTTACTTCTAGACACCTCGTAGCAAGACAAAAAGAAATCCTTACAAGCAACCAGAGATATAACACCAACAAAAAAGATACTAAAACCAACAGAGATTACAGAAGCCTTGCTAGAGAAAAACTTACAAAGTACAGAAGGGAATATTAAAAAAACAAAACAAAGCTCTAGTGGTGAGTATAAAGACCATTATCCAAGAATGGGAAGAGGTACAGTTGTTAAGATACCAGTTTTCACCAAATTAATACAAACTCAATGGATTGCAAAATAAAATCACGACAGTACTTTGTTGGAATATAAATGCCAATCTTCACATTTATGTGGAACATTTGAGGTTTAAATTAAAAAATATATGTATAGAGAAGCCAGGTATAGAAAACTGCACTGATTGTGACTTCTGCAGTGGATCAGTCTCCTGTGCACCAAGACGCTGAAGCGAAGCTCAGAGATGACCGTCACGCGTGCAGAGCAGCAGCAGGGGGAAAGCGCTCACTGGTGCCCGCCTCTGGCACGCTGCAGGACCCTGAGTTGTCACACGAAGTGCTACTGTAACACGCTGCAGACATTCATTAAGGGTTAAAACATACAGAGCTTAAAAATTTAGTTTCTCATAAACATTTGATAATCACACCACTCTATTTCATGACAAGATGGAATAAGAGTAACTGCATTAAAATTTTACCAAGTTACTACCAAAAGTATTGAGAGCATCACTTCTTATCATGGTCCCTACATTTATATATTACTTTAAACTTTAATTTTCATTATCTCATAAATCATTCTTGTATTGACACTTTTGAATAAGACCATTTTCTTGAAATCTTATTAGAAAAAAAAGGCAGGCTTTATAAATAGCCCATGGCTGGGAACATTAGTTCAGTGGTAGTGCACCTGCCAAGCACAGATGAGGTCCTGCATTCAATCCCCAGTGCTGCACAACATAAAACAGAAAAACAAAAAAAAAACAAACCATACACTGTGGTTTTCATGTCAACAGGCCAGGGAAGCTAACCAGAGGAAGTATGTCCTTCACAGATAAAGAAGGAGGCAAGAGATGACCAGATAAAGCAAAAGGATCAAACAGGTTGTCTGAGAAGGCCAGCAAGGACCAGAATCACAGCACTTGGGTGCAGGAATCAAAAACATTAGTTAGGAAAATGGACACAGAGGCCGGGCGATTAGAGAACATTCCGGCTCACATCCCATTGAGAAGACAGGCTGAAGACCCAGTCTTAGCTCTGGGCCAGAAGCAGGGGTGACAGCTATTCCCTTATAAGACTAATGGGAAAAAAGAAATGAAAAGAAATAACTTTCTTTTAAGCCACTAGTAAACATGGACATGACTGCATATTCATGCAGGTTTTTGAGACTAACAATCCTTTTTAAAAAGGAATAACTAAATGATGCTTGATAGGCAAATAAAGAATTTACCAGGCAGAAAATGAGCAAACTCTCTTTACACAGAGTCAACCTCAACTGTCCCCTGTAACCACAGCAGGCAAAGGTGAGAAACCATGACCTGAAAATGACACCCTGGTGCCAAGCTCTTTCTCCAGTGAACAGTGGTTGAACAAAACCCCAGTGGGTACACTGCACCACTGGAGTCCCTGTGGACCACTGTCCCTACACTCAAGAAACTTACTTCTAAAGGGACAACTGGACAGATACGAGGGGCTGCTTTCCGGGGAGAATGACAGTGGCTCCACATGACAGAAACAAGCCACAGGCATCAGTGTCCTCTTGTGCCTGGGCCCCACACACAAACTCTGTGTGCAATCAAGGACTGAGGAAAATAGATGAACTGATGCCCGTGTTGATCATCCAACAAGTATTTACTGGGCACTGTTACGCGCCAGGCCATGTTCTATGCACTGGAATACAGCAGGGGGAAAACAGAAGAATCCTTGCCCTAATCAGCTCTACAATTTCCTAGGTCCTCTTCTGCACTGAAAAGTCTAAAAAAAAGAAGGAACTTTGCAAGCTTCTTAATTTACCACGCAAAGAATGTGTATAAATTAGAGATGCCTGACGTTATTTCTGATTAATTTTGAAGATTGTTTTTTCAAAACCATGTGGTTTCTGGTAGCTATTCTAAGAGTCTTGCCATCTTGTATTTAAGTGCAAATGTGATTCTGACTAAACCCTTTACAGTGGACCCTTGAGTTACAGCTGGCCTGACATACAAACAACTTGGGTTAGTTTTAGTTTTAACTTACAACCAAGGTCTTGAGTTATAACCCAAATGCTGGACACCTGTGCTTCCAGATGGTCTCAGATACAGATTTAACCCTTAAAAGTTCTAGAAGCATGTTACAACATCCTTTCCTGTGTGGGGTTCAATGAGAAATCCCAGGCCAATATCTAAGGACACAGAGATCTGCCTGTGAACAGGAGAGAGACTTTGAAGGCAACTGACCAACCTGAGTTAAACTTGCCCTTGGGAATGAATTAAGTTTGTAAGTGAAGGGTCCACTGTATATAGTTCTTTTCCTACTCACGTGTGGGAAGAGGGGTGATGTTAACCTGAAATATTCTGACATATCCACTTAAAACACTGGATATTGTTCCAACTCTTAAGATTTTAAGTTGGAATAGAGACAGAAAGAGACAGATCACATTGTTTCTATCAAACTGTCTTAGAAAGCTGCTCCAAGCTTTCTTCTTTGGAAAACCATGTATCTAGAGAGCTAGGTCAGCTGTGTAAAACACAAGACCCCAAGAAACAGTGAATTAAATACAACAGAATTTTTTCCTGCTTCATATTAAAAAAGCTTCAATCATGTGAACCAAATTCCAAGCAGGAAAAAGAAACTCAGGAGAGAAGAAAAGGGTAAAAGTCTGAGTTAAGGAACCTTCTCAGAAGCTGCACCAATGTGTGTGTTGACAGCTTACTGGTTCGGACGTCACAGCTTAGTCCACACT